CATATTAATTGATTTGCGTATAGGATAGGGATATACCTATAGGCCATATGTAACAAGATTAGAATCTGAACTTAATAAATCTATTTTAATTTCAATCCACATAGGGATATAGTGTTTTGGTTAAAATAGATACTTTTATAAGATGAGTCGAGAGACCCTTCTAAATAATTTAGGACTCTAGGTTAGCAATCAAACCATTGAAATAAGTTAAAAAAGAGAGGTAAGATTTAGATGAAATGTGAGGGATATTGTAATCCTAGGCTTGTGATTTGATATTTACTCAAGTTATTATTATTTTGATTTTTCCTATTAGTTTAAGTTTTAGTTAATTAGTTTTAGTTAATCAAATAATTTTGAGTGTTTGAATAAAATTAATTTGTTTTAATTTTAGTACTCGGTAAAATTTTAGATCAATTGCCTGTGAGATTGATACTCTGCTTGCTAATATATTATCTATTCGATACGTATACTTGCGTAGTGAAATTTTAACTGACAAGTTTTTGTGTGTATGTCTATCTTATATTCAAATCAAATCACCTATCAACTAAGTGTATTTAATCATATGCTATTCTATTTTAAGTCTATCTAAATCTCTTTTGTTAAGGTTTAACCTAGATTTTCAATTCAATCTAATTGGTGATTAAGCAACTAAAAGCATTAAGAACAAAATAAAATACACAATTTAAATCCATCAAACATAAGTAAAAGAGAGATAAATAAATCAAACTATATATTGAGTTCAATCATAATATTAGATAAACAATTTAGTTCCTCATCAAGTCACATATTATCATCAAAATAAATTTAAACATTAAAACTAAACCAAGAAAAATAAGGAATAAAGAAACTCCAAAAGTGAAAGTCTTGATCTTCAAATCTTCTTAAATCCTTCAATTTCTTTTCAGCTCCAATGAGACTTTTTTTTCAACGATTTTGTGGCTTGAATCTTAACTGTCAATCTGGTATCTCATTCTCTTTTAAAAGTTATTCAAAAGGTTATTTTTATAAGATTTTGAATTTAGGCCAAGTTTGGTGAAAAATGAAGTCAATTTTAATCAAGATTTCCTCATCAAATTACTTGGGTCGTGGCCTACTTCCTCTAAAGCTACAGCCTTGACCATTTAAATAGCAAAAATTGTAATTGCTCTAAGACTACTGTAGTGTTTCAAATTTGACATAAGTGTTGACCATCTTACAGGCCAAACTGGGCGAAATGGTAAACATGAAAGTTGTATCTTTTTCTCTTAGTTTTTCAATAGTCCAAGAATCACTTCATTTGAAGCTCTATAGAGAGAGTTATGGCTGAACCACCGAAACATGTGTAGTGGAGGTCTGCACCTTAAAATTGCTCTTCTACTTCCACTGGAATTCTTCTCTCATCAAACACCTACAAAAGCACAAATAAATCAATAACAACCTATCTTAATCACACTAACCCAAATTAAGCATAAAATTAACTAAGATTAGATAAACTCATCTAAATAAACTAATTTAAATTTATTTAAATAAAACTTACTAATTTATATACATTACAACAAGAACTAAGCTAAATTATTATCAAAATTAAGTCCAAATAACTCTATATCAGAGAGTTATCAACCAACAAATAAAGAGAGGTAGTAATACATGGATATGACCCTATCTAATATAGTCTCCTGAATGCTACCATGAGTAACTAGTATAATATTTAGAGAATTAATAAAATAGATTTGAAAGAATTTTGCAAAATAATTCCAAACCTATTTAGCCGTTGGGCTATGCCATACCATGTGTAGCAATGATTCCTCTTAATTACAGCAAAGGCATTTAGAAGCGAGCTGGATGCCTTTAGATTTCATTCGGATCTCCACCGATATCTAATTATTGATCATTCTCCATAAGAAGAAAGAAATCGTTAATGGTATACTTCTATGTCAAATAAGCTTACCCAAGAAGTTGGTAGGTTGTTGATGCTAGATTACTTCCCATGCACTTTTGGTAGTAAAATCACTATTAGATGTAAGAACCCAGTAAGTTGTATCATCCCTAGTTCTATCAAAAGGAGTCTTCATAATTTCCTTAACGATAACATCTAAAACTACAATTCTCAATTTCTCTATATCCCATTCATTTTCATTATAAAAGTAATTAACTTTCACCATTGAATGAAGAAATGATGGGAAGGAATTTACCAACGGCTGATTTCCCATCCAACAGTCATGCGAAAAGAATAACTCTGCACCTTAATTGTGTTCAAATACTATTACATGTTTGGAACCGCCACTATAATTGTACTGTAAAGGCCTCAAAGACATCTTTTAAGCTTTTGATATCTAAACCACCTTTCGAACTTGGAAAAGTAATTTTTGGCCAACTTGCCCAATGGATCTGTTTACACTCTGCAGATCTTCCCCAAAGAAAACTATTAAAAAGCCTCTCGATTTTTTCAATCACACTCACTAGAGGCTTAAAAACTTGTAGGAAGTAAATTGGCAATGAAGAAAGAACACTTCGAAGTAAAGTAATTTGGCCACCAAGGGAGAGGATCTTATTTTCTAATCTTGAAATACGGTCACATATTTTATTGATAAGTGAATCAAATAGGAGTACCTTCTTCGCACCTTTTGTAGAGTGGAGCACCAAATAAATAAAAGGTAATGTTTTGTGTATAAATGTGTAGTTTGTGAAATAATCTGTTTCCTTGAAGCTACAAGTTTATTAGCTGTAATAAAACAACTCTTTTGATGGCTCACTTGTTGTTCGAAAATTTGCTCATACTCTTGTAAAAAATCAAGAATCTTCTGCAAAGCTGTATAGCTCCCATTAGTTAAAATCATTACATTGTCAGCAACTGTAAGGTGGCTAATATTAATTCTACAACCAAATTGATAATGTAGAGATTTATATTGAGCAAAAAGATGATTGATGCCTCATGATAAGTATTCAGTTGCTAAAATAAATAAGAGCGGCGAAATAAAGTCACCTTTTCTCAACCCTTTTTCTGACTTAAAATAGCCAACTAGCTACCCATTAATCAATAGGGAAAACTAGCAATTTGAGACACATCTCCTCATCATACCAATCCAATGATCATTAAAACCAAAATTTTCCATCACCAAGTATAAAAAATCCCAATGCAACCAATCATAAGCTATCATCATATCTAATTGTAAAACAACATTACCACCTCTCAATTTAGTCAAGTTTGCCGGTCAACTCTTTTGCCAGCAAAATGTTATCACTAATGAGCCTGTCACTAACAAAACCACTCTAGTTATCAAAAATAATTGCAGGAAGAATTTTGGATAACCTGTTAGCCAATAATTTAGTGACTATCTTATTAAAGACAGTACACAAACTAATTTACTCCTCATTTTCTTATAAATATGGCATAATTATTTTTAGCATAATATCTTAAAGAGTTTATGAGTTATTTAGAAATATTTAAGCAAATTTTTATACTTTTATTGCTTTCAATAGATCCTTATAATTTTATTTTGAGCCAAATAAATTTTTATAACTAATAGTTAACTAACTGTTGTTAGTTAAAATGTCACTTGTCATTTTATGTCATATGGCATGTTGGTATGTTGTAATTAGATGATAATGTGACATGTTGATGTGGTATTATGATATGGTTATGATTTTTCACTATCTACGTCAATGTCATGTCAACACCATATAAGCATAAAATGATGTGTGGTAGTTTGACTAATTGTAATTAGTAAACCGTTAATTATAAAGGTTTATTTGATTTAAAATAAAAATATAAGAATTTGATTGAACGTAAACGAAGAATAATGATTTATTGAAATTTTTTTAAATAATCGAGGGGCTTTTCAAGTTTTATGTCATTTTTCTAGAATAACATGTTTTGTAAAAGACTAGAAGAAGTAAACCTTGCTATTAACATAACAAAATCTTTTTAATAAAATTTAAACAAGAGTGCGAGAGTGATGCATTAAGGTTAGAGTCCACGATTTTATTTTTGAAAACTTGAATTCCAATTTAAAATGAACTTAATGAGATTTATGGAAAAAAAGGAAACTATTTCTTGTCATATATATATATATAACTCACTATCAATGTATATTAAAAAAAAAAGACTTTTAACAAGTCAAAAAATTGAAAACGTCATACATACGAATGAAGATTTATCTAAAAGGACAATTTTCCATTATATACCAAACCATTTATGATAGTTAGTATAACGTCCATCTCATGGATGTGCGTCTGAAATGTGATGGCTGGTGTGAGGCAAGCCTTTCGTTAACTTCGAACGGTAGTCAGACTTTCTGAATTGTTTCCATGAGCAGGTTTTTCCATACCTTTTTCTGCTTATTAAATATTGGATTGGACTCAGCAACGCGTTAGTTCTTCTCCTACAACTATTTCATTGAACAAATGAAACAGAGAAAAGAATTGGTGAACAAATGATGTTTCGAGTGATGATGGAGAAGGTGATGAGCTCACCTCAACGTTTGGCTTTGGGTTGTTTCTATGCTCTTTGCATCTTAGGTGCAGCTCAAGCTCAGAATCAATCTCAGCCCACTACTGATCCTGCTGAAGGTATTTGCTTCTTCTGTTGCTGCTTCTCTCTTCCATCGTTTCTAATACTTCATCCATGAATACTGTAAGCAAAGAGCAAGCTCTCCCATGATAGGGAAACATCAAACAGCAAACACCATGCATACCTAAAAAATATATAAAACAAAAACAAATGAAAGAAAAGTTTGTCCTTGCCATGTGAATCCTTCTTTCAATTTTTTTTTTTGAATTAGTATGTTAAGTCTCTATTTGATTGTTACTTTATTAAATGTTTTATATGTTTTGAAGTTAAAGAGAAGTAAAAAAGTACATTTAATGAAATATAAAGATAATTAATGCTTTGAATAATTAAAAGTAAAAAAAATTAATCTCTTATAATTATTTCATGTAAAAGTAAAAAACTTTTGTTCTAATTAGAATCCTTGAGAAGTATTAGTGCCCATTTATTTGCCTATTGTTTATTTTTAAATTTCCAAAGCTACCCTTTTTTTTAACAGTTAATATTTTTGTACTAATACTTTTCAAAAAAAAATTAAAATTAATTTTTATGATTTTTTTTTTACTTTTTAATATTATAAGTCATAAAACACAAATTTGAAAAAAAAAATTAAAATTTAAATATAGAACATGTTAAAATCAATTAAAAAAATTTGACATGGTAATGAAAGTTTCTTATAGTGACCCTGACCCATAAACGATGATAATTGAAAGTAATGGTGTTGTAAGCTATTTGTTTTGCCCAAGCTTTCTGTAAATTTTCTGTAATTGAAAGTAAACACGGTAAACTTGGAATGCAGTAAGAGCATTGAACTCAATATTCCAACAATGGGGAATATCAGCGAGTCGAGACCAATGGAACACAAGCGGCGACCCATGCAGCGGAGCTGCCCTCGACACTGACTCTACAGACATTGATAACGATGATTACAACCCTTTCATCAAATGTGACTGTTCTTTCAACAATCGCTCTACTTGCCACATCACCCGTCTGTATGTATCCTTTTCATTTTTTCAACTGGCTTCCTTGTTTCATTTTGGTGCGGTCAGCCGATGTTGTTAACAGAAAATGCAAAGAATCCGTTTGACATTATGTCTGAATGGTGATTGCTCGATTGCAAATAGCCTCGGACAGTGCTTGCATTGATGCTAAAATTGCCTGCTTGCTATTGGTTCCTTTTAGAAAATGCAGTTTCTTTCTTCTTTTTTTTTTTAATTTAGCTATGGAAGCACATTGTCTGCCTGGGATATGCTTGAACTTCCAACGTATTTAAATTCTGAGGGAGAGATAATATTTTTGAAGTGCTAGAGAGTTTTTTTTCTGGCTCCAATCCCATTGAGTTTAATATGTATAAAATAAAAGAAAAAGGTGATTTTATTAAATGTGATGCACTTTCGATTTGCCTTCTATTCTTTTTCAGCAGAGGAACTGAGTAATGCATGCAGTGGTTGGGTTATGGGCCATTCTAATCATGGATTATTAGTGGGTATTTGTATATTTATTTTTCCAAAAAGACACTCAAATTTCTGTTACTACAAATAAAGAAACTGAGTGCCTGACTCTAATTCATGTTTGAAGAATGTTCTTATCATGTAATGCTTAATTGTTAGTATTATTATGCATATGATGATGAGAGTTTAATATCTGAATTTGGGACTAATGAATTTGAAAAAGCTTCGTTTCATATGTCCTTATTCCAGATAACTTTTTTTACAGGAAAGTTTATGCGCTGAATGTCGTGGGTGTGATTCCAGATGAGCTTTGGACTTTGACTTTTCTTACCAATCTGTATGATTTCCATTTACACGTGTATATGCTTAGAAGTCTATAGTTTTAATGATTACATACTTTGATATCTCTGCTAAGATCAAGCTGCTGCCAAAGTTGAAATGTGAATTATGTTGCATGACTTTAGCTATACTGTTACCATCCAGCACAAGGAGGATAGTTTCTCACAATGGATTGGTCATGTTTACTTCTGTTAAGAATACTGACTTCCCCCCTTCTTTTCCCCTCTTCTTTCAGGAGGCTGAACCAAAATTACTTGACAGGTCCCTTATCTGCTTCAATTGGCAATCTAACTCGAATGCAGTGGCTGTACGGCATTGCAACTTTTATAATTTATAAATTTTCGATCTTGACTTTATTTTTATTCATCTTTTCTGTTCTGATATGTAATCTTTGTATTGAATAGAACCGTTGGCACTAATGCATTATCAGGGGAGCTTCCGAAGGAAATCGGATTGCTTGCTGATTTAAGATTATTGTAAGCTAATCTCATTCTTCCGTATAATTTATTTAGCACCTTGTTTTTTCAGCTTTCTATGGTTGCATGATGGTCATAATCTCCAACTAAAGGTTCCTTCTTTAGTTTTGCAACATATATATATATATATATATATATATAATGTTTCCAATGATGGGATTTGTTTACTTAAGATTGTTGTTCCTGGACTTCCTTTTTGTTCCTCATATATCAGGTTGCCCTTCTCATATTTGTTGAACTGATTTCAACTAAAGCAAACAAAGTGCTTGAGATGTATAATCTATTTATTTATGTACTTCTTCATATGGCAGGGGCATTGGAATTAATAACTTCTCGGGTCCTCTGCCATCGGAGATCGGCAACTGTTCAATGCTAGAACAACTGTAAGTTGTTGTACAATGTTGAACATTCCTTCCATTTTCAACGCAGATTCTGCAAGCTTTGATAGGAAAAAGTTACAATCTTGGAAATGGATCTATAACATATAAAAAACTAAAATAAATTAATGTGTGTGTCACTTAGATGATCATTAATTTGCAAAAACTCCTGTGGTTGGTGATTCCCCAATATGAATGCTTTACAGAGGAAAGGTATTTAATTAACAAGGCAAGAATATTAGACAACCTAAACAGTATGAAAGAGAACAACTCTCATAGAGACATGCCGGTGACAATTATTTAAAATTACTTAGAGTTTTGATGAATCACATGATTTATTATTATTTTGTTGTTGAAAAGACATAAGGTGTTTGTAATTGAAATACAAATTTAAATTTAGGGCTTAGGCCAGTCTAAAACATTGACATGTTACACTTTTGTCTAGTTCTTGGCTTCCAGTCTATTCATATACGCAACCTCCATTAACTTTTAAGAATTTTAGAATATTTGAATATTTATTTTGAAGTAGAAAGTTGGTGAAAAATTAAATTTTGGGTGATTTAAAATTATAATAATTACTTTTGAAGATCAGTCACTGGGACATCATTGCCGTAAGACACATTGATCCTTCAATGTGCAGGAATTATGATGTTATGGGCAATTGAAGTGAGGTTCCAGAACAGAACTATAGTTTTTAGGGAACCAATGGGATCTTTGCTTAGGCTTCTGAACAAACTATGATGACAACCTAGTTGCCTTTGAAGAACATCTAGTTTTAATAGATCATGGTCATGTTATAGCTGAGAAAATAGGCACAAACAAACAATTACTCAAAATAAAGCTGTGGAAACAGGAACAAGACAATAGTTACATGAAGGAATATATGTAAAAAGCCTAACAAGCCAAAAACATCACTAAACGAAGACTCAATTTTGTGCAAAACCTTGCAGAAAGTTATTTACTGGTTCAATTCTTCAAAATCTTTTTAAAGAAATTTGCATCTGCTTCTGACAGCTAAGGCTCTCTTTTATGCTGTATTTAGTTAACAGGGATATTGAAACTATCTAGAAGAAAGTAATTCAGGAAAGATATTTGTGTCCACATGGCGTCAATTGATAACTGACGGTGGCACCTTTCTTTTATATAGACAATCATTATATATTGCCATACCATTTAGTAGGCTTTGAGTATGTTTGACCTTATTGGTGGCTACACTTTTGCTCAATGACTACCCTAAGCCTTTTAAGTTCTCTAAGATTTTGTATTCTGTGAGACACTGCAATGATTCTTGTCCTCTGTGCATAATGGCTTAAATAATAGAAGAAGCTATTGCTATTATGAATTGTATATTTTAAACATTAAACACATCACGGATATTAAAATAACAGTTTGTAATGCATGTTTAGATTTTTTTTTTTTGTAACTGCTGTAAACCTTGACAACCTTAAATCTATTTATTTTTTGTTGATCCTCTTTGTTAGGAAGGACCAGATGATAGATTTCTCTATCAATTTATATGTTTGACTATGAAGTCTCTGGAGTTTCTAGGATTTTCTATCCTTGAAGTACTATGTATCAAAACTTGCAGTTAGTTCTTATAAGGTTCTGTTATTTATCTTCTTTTGTAGTGTCTGTGTACCTTTCTGAAGTTTGATACTTATGACTTATGATCAGTTACATTTCTGCTTTTTTTCTAGATAAAAATATTAAAGACAATCAGAAATGATGGAACCTTGTTTATTTTGGCAGTTATTTTGATAGTTCCGGTGTAACTGGTGAGATTCCTTCAACATTCACTAATCTGCAGAACCTGCAAACAGTGTAAGAATGTTTTTGATGCTTTGTTCTTTCTAGAAACTTTCAAACACATATGCTTTGTTGGAAGAAAGGAGTATATTGATGAAAATTTTGAAGCAATACTTCAATTTATTTCAGGTGGGCATCAGACACAGAACTTACAGGGAGGATACCTGACTTTATAGGGAATTGGTCAAAGCTTCGTGACTTGTATGGTTTATTTTCTTCATGTGATTCTAAAGTCTTTTTTGAAAGAGAGCAGAGGAAAATGATAGCTATCTGAGTTATTGCTATCACTGCACAATTTATAGCGTTCAATCTATTATTTGATTGTAGGAGATTTCAAGGAAACTCTTTTGAAGGTCCAATACCTTCAACATTTTCCAATCTTACTTCACTGACAGAGTTGTGAGTGCCTACATCTTTTCTGTAACTTTGCTACTATGTTGAAGGTCTGTGATGCAAACAATCCAATGTTATGCAATTATAGGAGGATAAGCGGTTTATCTAATGGAAGTTCTCTATCATTTATGAAGGATATGAAGTCCTTAACTATCTTGTAAGCTATCTCAGTTCCAGTTTATGATTCAATTTGTTCCTTCTTCTCTCCTGTTGTCCAATAGCTTAGTTACATTGTCTCAAGAAAGGATATTTCTTGCAGAGATCTAAGGAACAATAATATTTCTGATACAATTCCATCCACTATTGGAGAATACCAGAGTTTGACGCAGCTGTAAGTTATTCTCCTGGGCGGTTGTTTCCTTAGTTACAATTCAGAATTCTGTCAAGGCAGTTTCTGAGTGAGTTGGACCTGAAAGCAGTCAATTGACCACTTGATTGGTCCTTCTAACCTGATGGTCAGATATTTTATGAGCCCTATATAAAGTTTATAAGTACATTTAAAAGATACTACTTAGCTGGTTGGTTGGTGTGCTTGTAACCAGAACCCATTTTATTTAAAATCGGTTTAGCAACCATTTTACACAAAATCTAAAGTTAATTGTTTTCTTGTGTGTGGGCGTGTTTGTACTGAATGTAAGTGTCTGCATCTACATATACATACATGTGTATGTCTGTGTGCATACATGTGTGTAGAGTATAAATATATATGTATGTATGTATGTATATATGAAAATGTTTTTGCGGGGTCCAAGGTGGTTGTGTTTTGCTGGATTTGTATGAAAGCTTGCTAGCTCTATACTTTGCATAAATAGACTTGTTTCTTTTATTACTTTTTTCTTTTTGCTTACTAGTTGTACTTTTTCTTATAACTGTTTAATTATTATTATTCTTTCCTAGGGATTTAAGCTTCAACAATATAACCGGACAGATCCCAGACTCGCTTTTCAATTTGAGTTCACTCACTCATTTGTAAGATGCAAAATTTAATAAATAGCTTCACATACCTGCTGATTTTTTTTCTTTAATATACCTGCTGATTTAAATATGAAAGTATAGCAAATTTTGATGTTTTTATTTCAGGTTTCTTGGAAATAATAAGTTAAATGGCTCCCTTCCTGCACAAAAGAGTTCATCTCTTCGCAATATGTAAGAGCAACTTATGTCTTGTCACTCAATGTGATCCTAAAATACTAAGAAACAAATTAATTTGGACTAGCAGTATATTCCCAGTCAATATCTTTTAGTTTTTTCAATCCAAGGGACATTTCGAGCTTCAATCTCTTCTTCAAATTATTGCTGCAATGGCTTTATCTTTGTCCTGAAAGAACCTTAGGACCCAGCTGATAAAGTTCTGTCTAGGACGAAAGATATATATATATATATATATATGCATATATGTATATGTATTTATATATGTATATGTATATATACCACTTTGTGGAAAAAAGAAAATAATTCAATGTAGTATATGTGCATTAGAAAATTTAGATGTGCTGTTGAATTTGTATGAAGCTTGATGTGTATCAGGCTGTTCACTTTTTCTTTTCCTTATTTAAGTCTCTTAGTGGTTCTTCAATGCAAAAGGAATATGATTTATCTGAAAAGGATGTTGTATTTAGACCTATTTTTGTTAGGAAATCATATATGTTGCTGAGTTAGACATCTGAAGGTAGAGATGAAGGCACATTCATCATGCCATAACCTTTGAAAGACCTATTGCTGCTGTTTTGTTTTACCTTGCAAACTAGAGACCATATGTCTAGCTAAGGTGCAACGCCAACTAGCTTTGATATTTGCGGGGAAACATAGAGGTGTCGAAGTTTTGGATGATGTTAACAACTTGCATGGGTTGATGTGATTTGACTAGTGCTTAATTCTCTGAATATGTGCCATTCTAAACACAAAACCCTTGCAGAGATGTGTCGTACAACAATTTAGCTGGGAGCTTCCCTTCTTGGGTCAACGAACCAAATTTGTCAATGTAAGTCTCTCATAGGTTCATAATTGCACATATGCAATATGATCAATGTATATATTTACACACTCTGCCAAAGATATTGTCTTCTGCTAGCTTTTGAGTATTGTATGTTCAATATTATAGAAAACTTCAAATCTGTAAAATTGGTTTTCATTCTATGTACACTTAATATTGAAATTGACTGCTTTCCTATGGTGTGTAATATGCAGTAATTTAGTTGCCAACAACTTCACAATAGGACAGTCAAACAGCAGGTGATTCTTAGTGCTATCTTCACTTGTTTATGATTGAACAAGTGAAGTTGACTTAAAATGTATTTGCTCTCTCTCTAATCAGAATATTAATGTTCTTACTTGTATTATGGTCATTTGCCCTTGTTAAGTTGCTGATCATGGGCCACAAGTGAGCTATAAGTGACAATGTAGTTTTCTTTTGATAAGTTATTAGCAATATCTATGAGGTTTGGAACATGGTAATAAGCTGTTCAATACTTTTAGAATGATAACAATAGTAGTTATTTCTTCCAACGACTCTATTGCTTAAAATTATCCTTTGTTTCTATCACTTTCTGAATCTTGTGTTATGATGCTGTATAATGAATAATAAGTAAATATATACTATTATATCTGGAGAATAAAACTGGCTCTTTCCCTGTTTTCACTTTTGAAGAAGAAGGGAAAAAGAATGGCAGCTGATTGCATTTTTGTAAAGACCCCATGATGCAGCATGGAAAGAAGTTGCTTGACTTAAAGATTTTATTTTGTAATGTTATGCTTTATGAGCTTAATTGTACCCTTTGTAGATTTGGGTTATAGGCTATTTTATATTAATTAGTTTTGCTTATTTCCCAAGTATTGCAGTTTTACATTTATGTTTGTTATTCATGTTTTATCAGGGTTTAGGATATAGCCTATAGATATCTATGTTCTTCTTAGTTTCTAGAATGCTTCAATTGTGAGGTATTGAGCTTTTGGATTATCAATTATTGAGTATTGAGATTTTCTTCCTCTATTAATTCTTTCTTGTTTTCTTTCTCTTATTCTTCTGTTTCTCCCCAATTTCCCCTGTTTCTCTCTAATTTATTTTGTCTCTCTCTGATTCTATTATCTGTCTCTTTTCCCCTCCTTGTTCTACATAACGCTATTGAAGAATTTAAAAGGTTTAAGTCAGCTTACATAGCCTTATTGAGATTTAGATGGTCAAACATCATCAAACATTGCTAAGCATGTAATCATCATCCTTATGCAACTCCATTGCTCTTCTATTTTCAGTGTTTTGCCATCAGGATTGAACTGCCTTCAACGGAATTTTCCTTGCAATCGAGGAACTGGAATCTGTAAGTGTAGTTAAAACTTTCCCTTCTTCGTGAGAAACAAATAGGTTGGCAGCCAGAATACAGGGACCTTCTTGAGTTCACTACATGCATTATTGGCAAAAATTAATTGAAAATTTTGTTGCTAGATCAAGTACTTCCATGTAATTCTCAATGATTGTTGGTGAGATAAGTTAGATGCAAAGAACTGGAAATTATACACTCCCAAGAAATAACTATTTGGAAAAAGGGAAATATTAAATTGATGGAATGATGACATTGTACAATTGATCTTTGCTTGTGATCCATAGACTTGTCAAATTCCCAAGGAAATTAGTTCAAATCAAAAGAAGAAACTGCAAAAAGGAAAAGTGAAAAAGAGGTTAAATATTTTAATAAAAATTTAAAGCTTAATATATGCCTTTCAAAAAAAAAAAAAGCTTAATATACATGATTTCCATTGTCTTACTCACCAATAATATTTATCAAAAAATCTTTAGTTATGCACCATATCTTGCAAAAATTAGAATTGATGGGGAATGAAAAGTTAATAACATTATATAGAACTGGGTTCATTGCCTATTATTACCATAGGAAGTGCATAGTAGAGGAGAACAAATATTACTATATTACAACTATACTGAAATATGCATCCATCACTAATGTAAATTTTGAAAGGTGAAAAGGGAATCACAAAATGAAATTATATACTTTACTTTATTCTCTAATCATCTTCATTTGAGAGAATATAAAAGTTTAAAGGGTGTCGGGAGGAATTTAATTTGCCTCCAAACCCTCTGTAAACAGGGTAGCAATCGTTACTCTCTTTCACTCTACCGTCCTCCACTTTTACCCCACCCAAAAACATGTTAGGTAGGTGGACAGGTTGCTAGAACTCAACTACCAGGTTGCAGGAGCAAGCTGAATGGCTAGTTATAGGGCCTTTTAAGGCCTACTATTATTAAAGTAATTGGTGAAGCAGAGCAGGAAGGGTTGAGAATTGCGGATTAAAGGGAAAGAGGGCTTGTTGTGAATTGCTTTGGAGTGTAAACAATAGAAAATTTAGTTTCTGAAGAAGGCAAGAAAGATGATAAAAGAGGAAAGAGTAGAACACAAGATAGAACACTATTATTTTCTAAGGATTAAAAGTTACAAACCGGATATCGTTTACTAAAACCATGACAGATCAACTTGCACTCCATCTAAACAAATTTAGGATTTCTTTAACTTAGGCAAATTAATATCTCTTATAGCTCCAAACTCCCAAATACATACAGTGTTTAAAATTCAGAACATAAATCTGCAGTCTCCTGATTTTAATAAATTCGGAGCAACCTTTATATCCCCAAGGAATAGATTGAATGGCTCTTGCACTTAAGCTTAAGTTTCAGGTGAAGTAATAAGAACTGCCAAAGATTTTTGCTGGTAACTTCCTGTTATATGTTAAACAGAGAGACTACAGACACAATGAGTTTAGTTTCATAAATAAAAGGGCTTTGAATGCCTCATTAGGCAAAAAAGAACTTGGAAATGATTGCGTTAAAGGTGCGTGACTCAACTTGATAAAAAGCTTTTACTTTCTCAATCCTAAATATTACATGTAAAATTGCAAATGAAACCTTCTTTCTGGCTGCATTAGTTGGGAGCTGAAGAAAATTAAGGGGAGATAATGATAAAAATGTTTTGTTGTATTATATTTTATTGGAGGGAGTAGTTCAGAACTAAAGTACCTATTCTTCTAGGCCAGAATTATTTATATGGGCCCTTTAACAATTTGAGACAAACTAAAGCTACATAACTGAGTGTTGAACCAATCATATTGTTCCATGAAGTATATATAAGATCCTATCTGATATTGAAACTTAAATTTGAAATAACTCATCCATTTAGTTAATGAGCTGTAAATGGGTCAAACCCATAGTTAAGTGGTTTAATGAATGGGTACCCATAGGTATCCATTTATATCCCTGAACAATGACAGTAACTATTCTTCCTTTTAGCACACATTTCTTTACATTTAAAACTCATTAAAATAATTTTAGAACTGTCCTTATAGGTTAGAATTTTTAGGCATTTGTAGACGCTCAATAATGAAATTCCTAAAACTTACTAAAATTGTGTTTTGGCATTCCTTTACCCCTGAACTTAAATGATCTTTTGAGGACTGTATACAGATTACATTTTACTAATGCCAATTATTTTCAGGTTGGATGCTTAACATGGTAAAAACGTCCAGGTTGTTTGTTGACCCATTGGGTGTATGTTATTCATTGTGTTGTTTTATATTTGTTAGTCATGTGGTAGGCTCGTTGGTTATGTCCTGGTTGTTTGTTGATCCATTTGGTGTGTATGTGTATGCTTTTTTTTATCTTTGAAAGGCCCATTCGGTGTGTGTTATTTGTTGCTTGTTGTCCCATATTTGTCGGTTATGCAGTAGGTTTGTCCGTTTGCATTGTTTGTGTTGGGCATGCATATAAATGTGACTGGTGTTTCTCATGCTTAAGTTCGGGATTTATTGTGACCTTATATGTAGTTCAGGTTTTTACATTTATTGCCAATTAATTTTAGGTTGGATGTTTAATACAATTTCAATGCAGGTTGTTCCTAGACTTGTTTGTTATGTTGTTTGCCATCCTTTATTTGTTGTCCACATGGCAAGCTTGTTTGTTTCAGTTGTTAGTATTGAGCTAACACCATTGGCAGGTTGGGGGGGAAGCTCTCAATAGTATGATCATAAGTGTGCCTACTATGCTAATATTTTCTTGTAAAGAACCTTTTTTCAGTGTGATTGATGAATATCACTTTTCTTTTTGGTTTCCCAGATTATAACTTTGCAATTAAGTGTGGTGGTCCACAGATTACATCATCCGATGGGACTCTGTTTGAGAGGGATAATGAGACTCTTGGTCCAGCATCATATTATGTGACTGACGCAAATAGGTGGGCAGTCAGTAATGTTGGGTATTTCACTGGGAGCAATAATCCACAGTACACAATTTCTTCATCATCTCAGTTCACAAGCACCCTAGACCCAGAACTATTCCAGACAGCACGGGTTTCTGCTTCATCACTAAGGTACTATGGATTGGGGCTTGAGAATGGAAACTACACTGTGAGGCTCCAGTTTGCAGAAATAGATATTATGGATACAAATAGATGGGAAAGTCTTGGGAGGCGTGTTTTTGATATTTATATCCAGGTCTGTATCACATTACTGAAATCCCTGGGCTGCCCTTTAACTGTTACTTTCAATCTGTTGTATTCATGATCATGACGTAGAAGGTTTTCTTGATAATTAGAAGTCTTGAACTAGTGGCAACCTTTGCTGAGCATGTGAAACATATTTAATCCAAATAATTCATTACTTGAAGAATTGCTCTTAGATTCCTTGGTACTGAGACTAACTCCCTAGATTTCCTACATAGGAAATTTCAGAAAATGATCACCCAAGATTTGTTCCCCTCATTTTAAATTTATTATTCTTGGCATCATACAATTCCACCCAGGTAGGAAGTTTTTTGATAAATGAGATATTGCTAGTGTACCTAGCTGTTGCAAAGGTTTGAAGCTTTGAGCTTTGCCCTTAACAAGTCAGTTGGTACTAACTGAACAAGGCTCCCTTTGGTCTTAGGTACGATTATTCTAGTTTAAGAATGACGACCAGTTTTAATGTGATTAATAACTACTTTTTGGTTGCTTTTCAAAATTTTTTTTTTGTTAGAATAACATTCTTCTTTCTTTAATTTCTGAATTTGATTATTCCAGGGTAATCTTGTTTTGGAAGATTTTGACATACGCAAGGAGGCTGGTGGAGTTTCTAAACGAGCAGTACCAAAAGAGTTTACGGCTCACGTATCAGAAAATTACCTTGAAATTCATCTGTTTTGGGCTGGAAAAGGGACTTGCTGTGTACCAGCTCAAGGTAAATATGGACCATCCATTTCAGCAATCAGTGCTACCCCAGGTGAGCAATTAACAATTTTTCTTGATTTACAGCACAGTATCACAGTATTATTAACTGCAGTCTTTTGAGCAGATTTCATACCTACTGTTAATAATAACGCTCCAACAAGCAAGAAGAGTAGAACGGGTCTGATCGTGGGGATTGTTGTTGGTGTTGGAGTTGTAAGCCTTCTGTCTGTTGCAGCTTTCTGCATTTTTAGGAAAAGAAGGGCCCATAGGAAAGATGATGAAGGTAGAATTTAAAGTCGTCGTGCTGATATTTGAGTTGTTTAACTTCTTTAGTTTGAAGCTGCTTCCAGATATGAACACTTGTCCTGAGCATCCATGTGGTCCTAGTCTTCTGTCACAGTTAACAGGGGCAACATTCATTTTAAAGATTTATGGGAACTTAGAAATATTTACTAAAGGACCTTTCTTTAAGAAATAAACTTAGGTGTATTTATTACCAACTTATAGGCTAAACAAGCGAATTTATCTTTAGACAAGCAGTTTCACAACACTAATCTGTGTTTTTCTTGAATTTGCAGAGCTCCTAGGAATAGATGCTAGACCATACACTTTCAGTTATGCTGAACTAAAAGCTGCTACAGAGGATTTCAATCCTGAAAATAAGCTTGGAGAGGGAGGATTTGGGCCAGTCTATAAGGTAATTTGTGGTTGTATTAATAGTAAAGAGGTGGATAAATACACCTTGTTGTGGGATTTTTGTCTGAAATGGAGGCATTTATCTATGAATAAAGTAGATAACAACTCTGAATCCATGACTAATCTCAGATTGAGAATCACCTTTTATATCAATTTTACTAAGGGGAAGCAGTTCTCTACTTTTGATTGTTAATCGATAACATATGCACACAGGGAGGATGAAAGCTGGGATAAGACATAGGCATTTGACATGATAAGGAATTGCAATTGACTGATCCTTTTATCCTCCTTAATTGTTTCCATTTGAAAACCTAATTAATGAAATTTGACACATTTGATGATTATTCTATTACTTTTCTTTTGAGAAATTGTGTGCTCCAATGGAGGGAACGTTGAGGATCGAAGTTTATTATAATTTCATTGAACCAGATTTTAGTTACTGAAATTAACACACTGAATGAAATAAACTCTATTGTATAAAAATATTGGTGCATAGCATGATTAATTTTTTTTTGTTAAGTTTGTTATATTTTCATTCATTATGTTTGACTTGATTCGAACACCAGGGAAAACTTGATGATGGAAGAGTAATTGCTGTGAAGCAATTGTCCATAGCATCACGCCAAGGCAAGAGTGAGTTTGTTACAGAAATTGCCACCATATCAGCTGTGCAACACCGTAACCTTGTCAAACTGGTTAGCCAAACTTTACGATGATAAGAAAACCCACATAAGCACCCGTGTTGCAGGGACAATGTAAGATTCTGGAGACTAGCAACCCTCTTCTTTCTAAACAACTTTATTATTTCTCATCATTTTTATGCCTCTAGTAGATTATTACTAAATGGTTGTTGTCATCACCTATGTAGTGGGTATCTTGCACCGGAGTATGCCATGCGTGGACACCTTACAGAGAAGACTGATGTGTTTGCCTTTGGTGTTGTGGCTCTAGAGATTGTTAGCGGAAGACCTAACTCTGACTCTAGCTTGGAGGAAGAGCAGATCTACCTTCTTGAATGGGTATGAATTAATTTTTCATTTTTGGATATACAGTAGATTGTTAGTATATTAGTGTGCCTAGCTGTTATAGTGGTATCAACCTCTAATCTTGGCCCTAGAACCAAGACTTTGACGTGTAAATAGGTACCGACATTGCATCACTCTGGTGATGGGTGTGAATGATATTTGCTCATATACTGATTTACATGTCAGTCCATCTCTTTTCTTTTTTCTTTTATTTTTTCTAAAGAGAGAAGTTTTAAAAAGTTTTAATTAAGTACTGCATTATCATTTGGTCATAATAACTATAATTTTCTACTAGTTGCTGTTGCATTATATCAATGTTAGCCATGTGTTTGAAACTTAGCCCTGATGCTTTGACAATATACGTGTATTTCACTATTGAAAATGGAATGTGAAGAAAACTTCTGTTCACATTAATGTTTGAATTCTGGACATCCCTTGGAATTGACTTATTCTCTCTCTCTCTCTCTCTCTTTCTCTCACAACAGTGCAATTGAAATGGTCTGATTGGAACTTAAGGGAATGTGACTTGCAAAGTTGTTATAGGATTAAAAGTTTATGTGACTTGCAATATGGCATATTCACTTAGCTTCTGGTACCTTAAATTGTTTAGCTTTGACAACATTTTCCTTTTGCTTTGGTATGTAATGTTGGGTTCTGCTCCAACATTCTTATTCTAGGGGAAAAGGCTGAAGGAGTGATTACTTGAATTCAAATACTAGTCATGTTCATTTAAATCTCATGTATGAAAAATTGGGCTTATTGACTTGTATTCATGTGACTTTATACAACTAAAAACACATTCTACACCTTTAGTCCTCTGCTTTCTGAGTTTCATATGCATCATGTCTAATTATTTTTTGTAAAATATTCTTTCATCTTTCTGCTTATAAGGCTTGGTACCTGCATGAAAATGATCGAGAGGTTGAACTAGTGGACGGTAGTTTATCAGAATTCAACGAGGAAGAAGTGAAGCGTGTAATAGGAATAGCTCTTTTGTGCACTCAGACATCACCAATGCAAAGGCCATCCATGTCCCGTGTGGTGGCTATGCTTTCGGGAGACGCTGACGTGAGCAGAGTGGTTTCAAAGCCTGGATACTTGACTGACTGGAAATTTGATGACACCAGCTTTATGAGTAATCTGGCAACTAGAGCGAGTGAAACCAGCTATGACACCTCAACAAGTGCAAGCATAGTAGCTAATACAGAGAATTCACCAATGGACGTTACTAAACCTATGCTCCATAGTATCATTGGAGAGGGAAGGTGAGATTTTCTCCTTTTTGATCATTACTGTTTTGGTGTAAATCTAAATAATTCATGTAGTCTTCATTGTAAATCATGTGTATAACTGCAGAATGTAAGCTGCAAGCGGTTACTAATTTGAATGTTTGGTTGGTTTTACAATTATTTCGGAAATAAAATTTGAAGTTTTATCTAGTATATATCCATGTAGGGGTGGAGTTTCAATTTACAGTCATGTACAAGTTGATTAGCATCTATTTACCACCAGACAAGCTTCAAAAATGTATTAGATATCAAACAAAACAAGTCAACATTAGCTATTGTTTCAACAAAGTGATGAACTTGTAGATATTATTTTGATCGAGTTATTGTTTGATATCTTTCAAAAGCAATTATAAATAGAAAAAATTACAGCCAAAGCTAAGTCTAACTGGAGCAAGTCTCTATCTCTTTTTTTTTTTTCATTTTTCTTTGTTAATAGTTTTTTAGTTCTTTTGGACATAATTGTCATGAAATAGTTTCTATAGGGAACAAATAGATGAAATGAAGGCCTCTATTGAGCTTCATTTTGTGTTTTAAAGAAAGCCATTGAAGAATTAACAAAGATATGGAGAACATTTATTTAAATTGTGTGGTTATAGAGATTGTAACAAAAATGCTATGCGTCTCACCCCCTTATTGATCACATTATAAATGAGCCTTTTCTTGATGGCAAGTCTCGTTGGAAAGTCATCTTACCAATCAAAGGGCAAGCAACCTCAATGCTTGTTCCATCTTGGTGGTTTTGTTCATATATAACAAGTGGAGTAGTCATAGCTATAAGAGAGGTTCACCTGATTAAAGCAAATAATTGTGAAACTAGAATGAGTTTTGTATAAGTTTTCTCAAGTATATTCAATATAGGATCATTACAAATAAGTTTTGCCCTGTACTCATTGCATTAGGTCAAGTTTGTCATGCTGCATTAGTAAAGAAGACTCTTGATTTATGACTTCATCAGTAGTTGTAACAAAGAGTATTCAAACATTGGACAATTGTGCCTAGTCACGAGCATTTCATCATCTCTGTCTACTTAACAAGGTTGAATTGGTTCCATCAACAAAAGGTTACAAGACATAACATCTTTAGATTTTTTTTATTATTTTTGCAAATTATGCTGAGATATTAACATGTTTGTTCATGTGAATTTGAATTGACCCAAATCCATATTTGTTGCAAAGAGTGAAGTATTCATTCCATTGATAATCCGTTGAAATATTTTGACGGGATTAATTCTCTGAAAGAACTCATTTTGTAGTTTTTAGCTCATGCTTAAGTTTATATTCTTCATATATAATTTGGGTGACTTCCACTTCTTTTTCCTTTTTTTTTTGTTATCTTATTATTTAATTTCTTACAATACTTATGCAATTTAATTTACTTGTGATCTCTATTTATAAGATGAGAAATAACAACTGCAGTCAATAAGAAAATAGAGAACCCTTCGCAACATTAGACAAACATGAATTTGTGCCAGTTGTATATGAATTTTGAGGCTCAATTTCAATTTTCATATTTGGAGCCATCTAAAATAGTATGAACTAATTCCAATTTGGATCAAATCCATGATTTTAATAATAATAAACTTTATCACATTAATCTAAATTGGGTCTATTCATGCTAACACACACACACACACACATATATATATATAGAATAATTATACCTGAATATTTAATTTATTAATTAATATATAATTTTCATATCTAAAGAGCAAGAACCCCCCTTCTTTCAATTATATTTATAGCAATTATGAATGATGTATCAGACGTGATTTGTTGGGCTTACATCTACGTAATAAAAATGGTCAATGTAATGAGAGTCAAAGTGAAGCCATGCGTCTATCTGTTTTAATAATTTGACGCAACGGTCACAGCCGACCAAAAGCTGTGCTAAGTAAATGATGTGGAGCAACGTGCACTATAGAAGAATTTTGTTCTGTCCTGGATTGTTGTTCTCTAGTGTTATTGGTTTGTCACTGATTCTGCTTTACTATTTACTTAATGGAAACCAATAATTTAGGTAGAGATGCACCAGCTGCTATCGGAGACAATTTTTCATGGTAATTGCCTTGTTTTATTTATGTTGTAGCAATTCTTCTACTTCTCTTGAATAATTCAATTCAAAAGCAACAGAAGGTAACTCAACAGTCTTCAAGAGAGGACAAAATTGGCCAGGTTTAAATTCTTACTTTGCCCTGGTCTATGGCCTGTCCCTATTGTTTGCCAAACCATGAAAAAGCTCTTCATTCATGATGAATTTGCCTTTTTCTTCCATATTTTGGCTGCTGGTGGGACCTAATTACACAGATATCTAGACATCTGACACCACAAATATAGAGGAATGGTAGATGAGAAAGGTCGCTGACACATTCCAGAAGATATACTAAGCGTTAAGCTCTCTATATACAAGAGCATGCATGGCCAATTACATGCAGTGAAATTAGAAACCTGGCCACTAGTTCTAAGTTGTATGCTACCAGTCAAGCTCTAGTCTGACAGTGGCACTGACATCCAGCATGCAACCTTCTAAAGCTTTGTCACTCACCTGTTTCTAAAATTGTTTCCTCTCCAACAGTAATTGCTTCTATTTTTACTAGGTAAGCATACATTATGCTCAGTTCTTATTCTCTTGTGTTGCTAAACTGTTTTGATAAGTGATTTGTATAGAAAATAAAAACTTTGGGGTTTTTAGATTTTCAGGGCTTAGTTGAAGAAATGTGTAGATTGGTAAACAGAGAGATCGACTTGGAAAAAGAAAAAGTCTTTCGTTAATTGAAAAAATTACCTGCAAATCATAAGAAAAGTTTTTTCTGCAAATGGATCTTTGAATCGAAGAAAATGTTACCAGCAAATTCTAAAGGAAGAAGCCCTTGTGAAGTTTATAATTAGTAATGAGCATGCGGCAGAGTCAATATAAATACACAGCTGCAATGCTTGCGACGGAATATTGACAATTTGTATTGCTCCCTGAAACTCTCAAATCATTCCAGAGTTCTGAAACATTCCAGTTGTGTATTCATTGAACAGGTAGAAATCATGGCAAATGAGTTAAGAACTCCGCTAACTCAAACCACCACAGGTTCCAGTTTTATAAAGGCATGCTTCAATGGAACGAATGCTTTCCTTGGTAAACTGGAGTCCTCTTCCATAGCCCACCACAGAAAATTTTCTGTTTTCCCCATTTTTCTGTTCTTTCAGTTGTCAACAGTACTAAAATCAATCATACACTAATTATTGACAGCACTTTTCTGCTTTTTCAGGAATCGGTCTTTTAACAGTTCCTTATGCACTTGCAAGTGGGGGTTGGTTGAGTTTATTTTTCTTTTTCTTGATTGGTATCATGACCTTTAATACTGGCATTCTCCTGAAGAAGTGCATGGATGCTAATCCTTCTATCAAAAGTTACCTTGACATTGCTGAGCATGCATTTGGAAAAAAAGGAAGACTTCTAGTCATGATTATCATGAATTCGGAGCTGTACCTCGTAGCCATAGGGCTTCTGATACTAGAAGGGGACAATTTACACAAATTATTTCCAAACTTCATGGTCAAGCTTGGAACAATTTTAGTCGGTGGAAGGCAGTCATTTGTTGTAATAACAGGTCTAGTTATATTGCCCTCAATGCTGCTAACTGACTTGAGCATACTATCCTATGTATCTGCAACTGGGGTATTTTCTTGCCTTCTCATTTTTGGATCAACTTTGTGTGTTGGAGCAACTGGTGGTGTGGGGTTTAATGCAAGAGGAAAATTGTTGAACATGAATGGGATTCCTACTGCAGTTAGTTTGTATATAGTTTGCTTTGCTGGCCATCCAGTCATCCCATCTATATACACTTCAATGACAGACAGACATCAGTTCAGTAAGGTACATTTAAACATGATGTTTTCATTCAACATTCTTGTTTTATGATGAATTTAGGAGCACTAGTCACAATTGTTGTCGCAATCAACTATTACATCCTTAAAAGGAAATAAAAAGAAAAATCAAACAAGTGAATCAATCAACAAATTAATGTAACTGGATAAAATTCAGCATATAGTTGGATACTGGGACCAACCCACTCTTGATGAGCTTGTACCTGCGACCTCGATGATTTTAAGGCCTCCTCATCGACCATTCAACAACATCTATACCGATCAAAACATAGCATTTATTTTTTATTGTACCGTCTTGTAGGTGCTGCTGTTTAGTTTCGTCCTTACAACAATTACCTATGCCTCAACTGCCATGGTTGGATACCTCATGTACGGAGATGGTGTGAAATCGCAGATTACACTGAATTTACCAACAAGAGAAGTTGCTGCAAAAGTTGCAATATACACCACTTTACTCATCCCAGTTACCAGATATGCTTTGATGGTAACCCCTGTTGCAACAGCTATTGAAGGTGGGCTATCAGAAAATCTCAAGAATTGGAGAGCAGTGAAGTTGTTTATTAGGATAGCATTGCTGGTTAGCACAACTATTGTGGCCTTTGTATTTCCATATTTTGAGAATCTGATGGCCATTGTGGGATCAATATTTGTGGTTTTAGCTTCATTCGTTTTACCCTGCTTGTGCTACTTAAAAGCTTCTGGTTCCTATCAGAGTTGGAGCTGCAAGCTTATAGGCATTGTTGGAATTATTGTATTTGGAACCATTGCCGGAGTTTTAGGAACTTATTCCTCCATATCAGAACTTGTTCATGATATGTAGATAATCTACATCATATTTTTCATTGTTAGTTTCTTTGTCACATGCGTGCTCATGATGTATAATCTTATTATTTATGTGTTACTAATAATATTTTTTTAAGAAAAATCTATTCTTTTTGTCAAATTGTTTGATTGTAGGGATTCATATAGAGCAAAATGTCAAGAGATAAACACACTTGAACCCAACTAATTATCCCACATGTTGAGCTATTAAGTGGCTAAAATTGCCACTTATCGAGCACCTAAACTAGCTATCTTTGGGCAATCTTTAATTGTAGGGATAGATTTAGAAATCCATTTAAAAAACAATCACATGATTTCTACACCTAAAGGTCAAAATGTGTCACCAACTAACTCTATAAACAAATCCCCGACCATATTCTTCGCATAAATAAGGCAGCAAATGCTCTGCACCAGAAAGGAGAAAACAAAAATTTCATTAAAAATCATATGGAAACGTCGGGGTTGCAAATAGAGACCAGAAGAGAATACATTTAAACCAATTTAGCATAAGGTTCACACTCCTGCCTAGTTAGCTAACAAATTAGCAAGACTATATGTTGGCCTCTCTTTTCACAAAGCTAAAATGACAATCCAAAACATCCTAAGCTTTAAACTTGATATCCTCATTCGTAGTATCCCATGACCACTCACATTTATTAATCTCTCCAAGTTGAGGGTTCAGGTTGAACTGAGCTACTTCAAAGACCCAAACCGAGTTATACCTCCTAGGTAATTTTGATGAAGAGAGTTAGGTTTATCAAGTTGTTTTTCTTTTTTTTTTTGAGGAAAGAGGTTGAACCAATTACATTTTATTTCTTTAATTTTTACTTAAGATATGTTTAGCCATCAAACTGATACATAATTAATTGGAATTTTGTATTTATATAATTTGATCTTAATATGTTAATTTTGATGTATATTTTTTATATATGTTTTATAGGTTTTGGAGCTGGAATAGAGGTGCACTATGTGATAATAGGGATATCTGAGGATGTCTCTGATAGTCGAAAAATCTACTAAGGTCTTTGGTGGTGTGCTTATTCAAAGTACCTTAATTTGAGAGGAGTTATCAATAATTCTCCAAAATATTGACTCTACGTAACTTACAAGATTCGGATGATTAATAATTTCTTCAACATATTAATTTTTTAATTCATTTTTAGCTGCATATGCACATATATATATTAATCAAATAAATCTTATTATTGTTGATTAATGATTATAATTTCAACTATAATCAACAACAAATATTTAAAAATGATAATTTTTGACTCAAAATTTGTGTATAAAAGTTTTTGACATCCTTGTTGGGAAAAATCCTTGCCTCTTATATCTTTTCTTCAAAATTCAAGTTGTCAAGTTGAAATGGTTCCCAATAAGAACTCTGCCAACGAGCCAGCCCTCATGCCCTTTTAAGCGAATCATGCAATCTACACAAGTTCATCATCAAGCACTAGTATTGTGTTCGTACTCCTCCTAACAAGCTCTTGATGAATTGAATGATCAAACTCTTTCAATGCTTAAAAAAATTCTCTCTATGACACTTCTTCCTCAACTCAAAATTTAGAGAAGTTTCTGCACTGCTACTTGCTTCCTTTCATGGATCGAGTTTAAATCATTAGTTATTACTCAAGTAACAAGATATTTTTGCAAGTAGCTATTAGATAATTGAAAGTCTCGCATTGAAAGTTAATTATTCATATATGATTGTTTAGTTTGAGATATAACTATTAAATAAATAGAAGTGTTTTCAACAAACACAATTGTTGAAACATACTAATTAATTGTTTAGCGTTTTCAACAGACACAACTATTGGAAAATACTAGTTCAGTGTTTATAAAAGAGAAAGTACTTCCAAAACATACTTCAACTTTCAATAGAATTCTACAATACCCTTGTTGCATCTTGGAAAGCCTTTGTCTGTAAATCCCTATAGTAGGCAACAACTCTTTAAAAATAATGTGTTATAGAGCGCCTCAAGCCTTCTTACTCCTTTTCTTATATTACTTTTCTAACAATTTTAAAGTGTTTTTCTTAATGGAGTCTAATCCAAATCTGAGGTTTCAAATCATGAATCAAGAATTCATCAAACTTGACCAATTTGATGAAACCGATTTCACTCGCTGGAGGATAAGATAGTGTTTTTGATTACTGCCTTAAAGATTAATTATGTTATTGCACTTCTATAACCAAGTGATGAAGATTCTGATGCACAAAAGGTAGAAAGAGAAACATGAAGAAGATAATTGATATGTCGTGGACGTATCCTAAACACTTTGATAGATTGTCTATATGATCTCTACTCTTATCTAAAGACTCCAAAGGAAATTTGGTAGCCTTGGAGACTACCTACAAGAACGAAAAGCTAGATATCGATAAATTTTTGTCTTTAAAATATTTTGAGTTTAAAATAAGTGACAATCTGCCTATCATGGATCAAATGCATGAACTACAAATTTTAGTTTCAAAACTAAAAGACCTTGAGGTTAAGCTTCTTGATGTGTAACAAAGAGGTGCAATTCTTTTTAAATTACCTTAATCTTAGAATAATTATAGAAAGAAGGTCTGTATTCTATTGATTCTCTATCATTAGAACAATTCATGACTTAGATGCAAATAGAATGTGAAACACGTGCATGTGATGCACTATTTGAGTCCTCTGATTCTAATGTAAATCATGTGAGTCAAAATTCTAATAATTCTGGAAAGAATCAGAACTCTAACAATTCTATGAAATCAAAGTCCTTCGCATTGAAAGTTTCAAGACAAACCTTTAAATAAAAGGATAAGAAAATATATATTGTTTCCATTATGGAAAGAAAGGTCATATGATTCGTGAATGCAAATCAAGGAAGGCAGGACAAAATTTTGGCTCTGAAAATCTTGAAAAAGCAAACATAGTAGAAAAAGGTATCAAGGAATTGGTTGCCATGATTTTTACAATGAATATTGAAATGATAACAAAATTGAATATGACTATTGGTTCTAATACAAGTAAAGATTTTGATGGTTGGGTTCTAGTGCTACAATTCATGTATGTAATGAAAAAAACTTGCTCAAGACTTACATGTAAGTTAATAAACCAGAAGATATTTTGACGGGACATGTTATAGCCAAAGTTGAAGGAAAAATGATTGTCGAGTTGAATTTCACTCTTGGATAAAAACTGACATTGCTCAATATATTCCATGTTCCTAAAATTCAAAAGAATTTAGTTTCTACTAAAAAAGGATTTAAAGTTGTAATAGAATATGATAATGTAATAGTATTCAAGAGTGGCCTATTTATAAGAAAGTGATGGCATGTATAAGTTCAACATTGATGAAATAAATATGGCTTCTACTTATACTATTGAGTCTAATTCTTTATTGTGCCATGCTAGACTAGGACATTTACATTTTGATTCCATGAGATTATGTCTAACAATGGTTATATTGCATGCAAACATAAGTACTTTAAAAATTGTGAAATATGCATACAGGTAAAAATGACAAAGAAACCTTTTCGTAGTGTAGCAAGAAACTCACAATTATTAGATCTTATGCATGTCACATACTTAATAGAGTTTCTTCCAAGGGTATTAAGATTTCACCTTATGAATTTTGAAATGGAAGAAAACTAAATTTGGAATATCTTAAAGTGTGAGGGTGCTTGGTTTTTTTATAAAATTCTTGAACCACAGAGAACAAAGCTTGAACCTAGAGCAATAAAAGGCATTTTCGTTGACTATGCCCAACTTTCTAAAGCATATAGAATGTTAGTTTTACAGTTTATCCTTATTTTGAAATAACAAAATAAAATGACCAAAATATGAGTGATTAAGTGCATTAAAACCTCACAAAACCCTTTAAGCATTTACATGAAAAATAGTTAAATATTTAAAGCTCAAAATGCTTTAGAAATACTTTATAGCTCCAAGGTATCGAGATCTCTTTTGTATGTATTGAGGCCTCAAGATCAATATGCCTTAGAAAAAACGTCAAGAAGAAGAAGTATCGAGACATCTCTGGTAGGTATCGAGACTTCACCTATTGAAAGATCAAATTCCAGAGGACAAGTATTAAAGTATCGAGACCTGAACATAAAGTGTCTAGACATTGCATCAAAATTGACAAATTCTAGAGAGCAAGTTCTAAGTTAATGATATCCAAGTATCATTCTATCAAAACTTCACCTCCAGTATTCAATTTTTGGAGAACAAAAATGAATGTATTGAGACCCAAGCTTCAATGTATCGAGATTTCATCTCCAAACTTCAATTTCTAGAAAGCACGTGTCAAAGTATCGAGACTTATTGATAAATTGTCGAGACCTCAACTTCAAAACTTCAAATTCTAGAAACCAAGTTCCCAAGTATTGGGACCTGCTTGCCAAGTATCTAGACATTATCTCTAGATATGGTTTCCGAAAGAGTAAGCTACTATGTATCGAGACTAGAGGACAAAAGTCTTAAGACACGGTTCAATCTAGAAATTACCAAGGATGAACAAGTATCAAAACATACAATAGAGGTATCGAGACTCAATTGAAACTAGAAATTACAGTATCGAAACTTATATCGTAGGTATCAATACCTCATATGAGACAAGTCAAAAAAGGACATGAATGACAGTTATATTTTTGAACTCATGTCTCTAAAAGTCTATGATAAGCCACATACATATAAATTGGGGCCTGAAACTTACTTTGGAAGAAAGAGAACACCAAGTGCAGAATTCCTAAGCAAGAGTGAAAGACTTCATAGCAAATTCCTTGAGAATCACTCTTCAAATCAAGTGTTCATTATCTTTGCTTTCTTGAGCCTTGAGTTCATATACTTTTTTCTTAAGCCTTTCAGAACTCTTTGTATTTATAGCTTTATTTAGCTTATTTAAAGGCATTTAAGCTTTCATCCTCATCATCTTGTAATTCTTTATGAAGGTTATACCTTATCCTAGAAAGGTAGAGTTGTTGTGAGAGGTCATACCTTAACTAAGTAAAAGGTAGATATGTTATGCTTAATCAATAAAAGGCATTGTATTAAACAGTTGTGCTTGATCCATTAACAGTAGAAGATTGTAAAGGTTATGCTTG